ATAATGGTAGATTTATTTCATGTAAGTTGATTAAAATCATCTGACTACGTCATTTGGAAGACGAGAAAACTCCTTCAAAATTAATATAGGAAACGTAAAAGGCAAGAAAACGAGATGATTTCAACCAAAAAAATACACCGCATTCTATTATTCAGCCAAAATGCGTCATGATTTGTGCTGTTTTCTCTACCAAAATTATTGCTGTTTCCCAACAGGATCCTCTACGGATCTTTTTGGTGAGAATCATGAAGATTTGTAAATTGTGTCCGTGCGATCAGTTTTTGTCAAGTATTGTTTATGTTTAATTTTAAATAAAAATATTTAAAATAATTTTTAACCACATTATGTACGATCAACGAATACGATTCACGAATATCTAGAATTCTCATAAAGAGGATTCGACGAGGATGCGGATTATGCTGTTTCCTGAAGAAGGAAGTTAGTTTCATAATTTCAAACGGAGCCTGATTTACCTTTTTAACCCTGATTTCAGCAGCAATTTACGTTTCCCCAGATCCAAGCCAAGTTAAACACCGAAACCGCGTAAGAGTAAAAAAGAGAGAGAGAGCCAACCGTCGTCACGCCGGTGTTAAATTCCCGCCAAGTCCCACGCGCTTTATGCCGACGTGGCAACCTCCCCCAGTGGATTTAACTGGCACGTGCATATAACTTCCCAAACGGCGTTACACCGTACCAGTTAGTTCATCCGTCACCCGACGTTTTCCCGTGAGCCGTTCTGCAGTCGCCGTCATTTATCAAACAAATTAAAACCTGAATAAATTTAAATTAAATCCTACTTTAATCATGATTACATAAATTCTATCTTAAATCCGTCTCCTCCAATGGCTCCAGACTCCTCTGTCTCACTCCGAATCTTCGTCTAGCTCGGAGACGCTGAGGCCTTTTCCGCCGTCGAAAAGCCCTGGTTCTTGTCTCATTTTTCACTCCAAGAATCGGAAATTCGGAAGAGGAAGTGTCGCTTCTGCGTCCGCCGCCGGTTTCAGCAGCTCTCGGAACGCCGCCATGTCCGGACCTCTCGATCGTTTCGCAAGGCCTTGTGAGTTCTCGCCTTCTTTGACGGATTCCTATCTCTTCTGTTCGTTAATTGCTTCCTATTTTCTTATTTATTTTTTGTTGAAATTTTGTTTCTGTTGCCTGTGCTGGTTCTAGGGTTTTGGATCGGGGTGATTGAATTTTTGATCTTGGACTAGGATTTTATCTTTGATTGGTAGCAATAGGGATTGATGATGGTAATTTTTGTAATTTTGTTGACGTTGATTAGGTTTTGAGGGGTTCTCTAGCCACGACGAAAGGAGGGAAAGGAAATCGGATTTTGAAAACTCGGAGGAGGAGAGGAGGACTGGAATTGGTGGGAATTTGAAGAAGAAAGCAATCAATGCGTCCACTAAATTCAGACGTTCTCTCAAGAAGAAGAGGAGGAAGAGTGGTGGTGGTGGTGGTAGTAGGCTGTCCACTTCAGTTTCGATTGAGGATGTAAGGGACGCCAAGGAGCTACGGGCTGTTGACGCTTTTCGGCAGGTGCTTATTTCGGAAGACTTGCTGCCTTCAAGACATGATGACTATCATATGTTATTGAGGTTGTTCATTGTCCCAGGAAACAGAGTTTCATTGTTTTTTATTTTCCTGCACACAAGATTTGATATGGAAAGTTTGGTTTTTTCTGTTTACTTTGTATGTTTTGTTGCTGAGAAGTTATTTTGTTGCAGATTTTTGATAGCAAGGAAGTTCGATATTGAGAAAGCAAAGCACATGTGGGCCAATATGATTCAATGGAGGAAAGATTTTGGTACTGATACAATTTTGGAGGTAAATTCACCAAACAATTCTGCAATGCATATTTAAAAAAATGTTTAAAGATGTGGATATGCCACCCATAAGCGGAAGTAAAAATCACATTCTTTTTTCTTTCAGGATTTTGAGTTCAGTGAGTTGAATGAAGTTCGAAAGCACTACCCTCAGTCTTATCATGGTGTTGACAAGGAGGGAAGACCAGTTTACATTGAAAGGTTGGGGAAAGTTGATCCCACCAAGCTTATGCAAGTGACTTCCTTGGAACGCTATGTGAGATACCATGTGCAGGAGTATGAAAGGTGTTTTGCCATTAAGTTTCCTGCCTGCTCTATTGCTGCAAAGAGACATATAGATTCAAGCACAACAATTATAGATGTTCAAGGCGTGGTATGCTTTCAGTTAACTTCTCAAGTGTTTGTTAAATTTTTTTGTTTTGCATAAAATATACAAATGCTAATTTAACATTTCCATGTTGCTTCTTTCAGGGTCTTAAAAACTTTACCAAGTCTGCACGAGATCTCACAGAGCAGCTGCAGAAGATTGATAGTGACAACTATCCTGAGGTATGAGGACTCTATTTGTAATCCTTTCAAGAATTGATGCCTTTTCAGTATATGTGGTGATTTTAATTAAATCCGTATGAATTGTATCTTCTAATTTTTAAATTTCTTTGTGCAGACGCTTTGCCGAATGTTTATAATCAATGCTAGTTATGCTTTTAGGAAGGTGCTCTGGCCTACAGTTAGAGCGTTCCTCGATGCCAGAACAACCAGCAAAATTCATGTATGGTTGATGATACACCCAAGATTTGATGTCACTGTTGACTGAAGTTATCAATGGGGTCAACTGATATTGTTATATTTTTTCAGGTTTTGAGTAACAAGTACCAAAGCAACTTACTTGAAATAATCGATGCAAGGTGATTGATGCTCACTATTTTTTCAGTGGGTATGTGGGTTTGTTATCATTCTGTTTTCATAACTATTAACTGTGGAAATATTTTGGCTCTATTCAGTGAGTTGCCAGAGTTTTTGGGTGGTAGCTGTACCTGTTCCGATCAGGGAGGTTGTATGTCGTCTGATAAAGGGCCATGGAAGGACCCAAACATACTGAAGGTTGTGTGAGATGGGTTGTTATTTTTGTTTCACCTTCTCTTCCTCTTTCGGCTTGTGACCGTACTATTGTATGGCTTAAAAATAATGTTTTTTGCTTGCAGATGGTAATTAGTGGCGAAGCACAATGTTTCAGACAAATAGTTACAGTTTCAAACAGTGAAGGGAGGATAAGTGTTTCTGATAAGCCACGCAATCCATTGGTATGGACTATTCTACATTAGAAGCTGTTTTTTGTGTATATTATTTTGGATTTAATTTGAAGTTTTTCTCTGAGGCTATGTTTATATTTTTCGTTCAGATAAGAAGTAGTGATACATCTACTGCAGAGTCTGGATCTGAAGTGGAAGAAATGGGTTCACCTAAACCAACGAGGAACTACTTACAACCTAAGTTGACTCCTGTTTGTGAAGAAGTAAGTGTTGTGTTTGACAAACATCTGTTATTTGAGAATGATTAGCAACAGTGCAACTGAATCATTAGCAGCAAAAACATGTAGAACCAATCTTTTTTACTTTTGTGTAGCATTGGCTTTCTGAGCACAGATGTATTCCGCTATAAATTGTCATCTCGTTTTGTTGACATTTTGAACTCGTATTTGATATGCTTCAATGCTTTTTTAGGCTAGGGTAGTCGGTAAAGCGAGCATTGCTACTGGCTTGCCGGAGTACGATGAACTTGTTCCCATGGTTGACAAGGCTGTGGATATGGGATGGAAGAAACCAGAATTACAACCACCATTTGCTTCTAGAGGTTGGAAAGTCTAGTTATAGTTCTCCTGTCCCGTGTAATTACAATTTAGTTTATAGTTAGCAGAGGTTATGTTTACAAACACCATGCTACTACGAGAGTTAAAAGTTATTATTATTCGTTACAAATTCATAGTTGATCTAATTAATCAATTAAAATACATTGCAGGGGCATCTTCTCCAAGATCTGTGGGGAAAACAACAGATGCCATGCATGCTAATATCTGGACTATGCTTGTGGCATTCTTTGTAACCCTCATTTCACTAATCCGATCTTTTTCACTGGGGGCGACTAAGAAACTTAAAAACTCTGTTTCTGATTCTGCCCACAACATTCCTGACCTAACCGATGAGTCAACTGCCGTGGAGGAATTCAGGCCCCCATCACCCGTACCGGGGTTATCCAGGGAAAACCTTCTCTCATCTGCTTTGAAGAAGCTTGGTGAACTTGAGGAGAAGGTAGATATGCTGCAAGCAAAGCCTCTTGAGATGCCTTACGAGAAAGTGGAGCTACTGAATGCTGCTGTTTATCGTGTAGATGCGTTAGAATCAGAGTTAATTGCAACAAAAAAGGTAATTTTTCTCATTTGATAGTCGCTTCGTTGTGCCAATTTAGCAACAGTAGTGATATGCTGCTTGTGCACTGGGTAAAGCGGGAGCCTTGTGCACTGGGTACGACCTTTTTAGTGATATGCTGCTTGTCTTTACCTTTGAAATGTAGATTTACATTTTTTCTGGTGTTTCGGAATCCCTTATGCAATTTTGGATTAATTGTCTTTTTCTTCTTCCTCTGTCCAAGTTATATATATATATATATAATGTTCATCTTTCCATATTTGCGTACTTAGTCAGTTTCGTGGCCGTTTCTCAATAAGCATAATTCATCTTTGTTTGTCCTTGCATTTTCGATCATTTGATGATTTAATTGGGACTGTACGTTGCTTCCTGATTAGGCTCTGCATGAGGCTTTAATGAGGCAGGAAGAACTTCTTGCCTATATAGACAGGCAAGAACAGGCCAAGCTTCGGGTTAGTGAAACATTATTCTCGTAATTGAATCATCCCAAATTAGAACATTTAATCAATGCCGGCTTTTCCTTTTTTATTTTCTTTTGTGCACGAAACTGAAAATTATGCTCGTTTTCTGTAACAGAAAAAAAGATGTTGCTGGTGAAGACAATCTCTGCTCCAAGAGGACCTGCGTGTGATATTTTCGTCATGCTTTCCTAGTATATTTGAGATGCATCCCCACATATCAAGTTCGTCTCTCCAGAGGTGCTGCTGTTTTTGTTTATAAGCTTCCTTCTATGTTACGCATGATAATATCGTGAGTAATGTAAAGTATTATACAACATTTCTCGAGTTCTTCTTTATCGAACTTTCTGTTTGTGCATACAATTGCTCTTCGACGATAATTTATTTATAGAATGGAGAAGTTACCACAGAATGTGTTTAAAAATTGATGTCTGTTACATCTGCGATCGCAATAGCGATAGGCGGTGGTAAGTATTTGCTCCCATCAGGTTCTATCAGTCTTTCCTCGTAGGAATTCGATAAGACCTTGAAGGGAAACATGAGCATCATCGCTCGTCATCAGCTCTCCGGCAACTTCAGCAGGCGTTGCTTGTGCCCTGTCGAGCAACATCTCAATTTCTCCGAAAAGTGTGTGCTCGTGAATCAGCAGGTAATTATATGCCAATGTCTTGAAACCACCGAAGGTGCAGTAGGACATGTGTATGTGCAGGTCCATCCGGCCAGGTCGCAGCAACGCTGGATCAAGCCGGTCCTTGTGATTCGTCGTAAACACGACAATTCTCTCCTCTCCACAGGTCGACCAGAGTCCGTCGATGAAGTTCAATACAGCAGAGAGGCTGATCTGTGAACTAAGAAAAACATTAAAAACCGATTGCTTTCAAATAACCAAAAGCGCTTCTAAGATTGTTATTACCTTGTCATCTTCCACGGCGTTGGGCTCGTTCTCCGAATCTCGGTTCTGCAACTCAACTGAACAATCAATGTCCTCGATCACCAATATCGACCGGCTCTTCGTTCCGATCAGTAACCTTCGCAGATCAGAATTGCACTGAACCTCCCTCAAATCCAAGTCAAAAATATCAAACTTGAGATAATTAGCCATGGCCGCAACCAAGCTCGACTTTCCCGTGCCGGGCGGTCCGTACAACAAGTACCCTCTTTTCCAAGCCTTTCCTACCCTCCTATAATACTCCTTCCTCTTTCTAAACCTCTCGAGGTCCTCCACCAACGCCGCCTTCATCTCCGGCTCCATCGCCATTGTTTCGAAACTCGCCGGATGATCAAGGTTGATGGAGCTCCAGTAATCCGTGCCATTGTAATCTACCGTGTGAAGCTTCACCACCTTTCTCTCCTCTTTAATTTCTTTGGATTTCTGTAGAATGTAGGGCAAGTAAGATCTCAGCACCATGTCCCTGTGCTTCTTATGGAAGCTGAGCTCTAACTGTCGGACCTCCGACTGCGAATTTTCGCCGCCACGTTTACTGTTCGGTTTTTCGGTGCTTATCAAAACCCACTTGAAATCTACACCGTTGAAAGAATCAACGATGCCTTGATTCTTATCAATGGTGATCAGAAACTGCTCCTCTTTTTCGGGCTTGTTGACTTTGATCCTCCGCGTAGCAGCGGAGACCTTGGCGCCGAGGTAGAGGTTGGCCGCCTCGAACATCTGGTTCGGGGTCAGGCCGTCGAGCTCCTCCACAACGACGGTGAGTTGGGAGGAGAGCTTTTGGAGGCCGGAGTAGAAGTACTTTTGGAAGGCTTCCGGGATGAGGTCGTTTGCAATCGTTTTGAACAGGATTGCGGAGGCGGCGAGTGAGGCGGCCGCCGATAGTATGGTTTTCGGCGACAAGCACCACATGGTTTAGTTCTTTTTTTTTTGGGGGGGGGGTGTATAGTGGTTGGTGGTGGTGGTGGTGGTGGGGGTGGTAAATGAAATATTGAGATGCGGCTGACGATGGTTGTGTTAGGGGTTTTGTAGGGTTTTGCCTTCCGGGTTTGCGTGAAGAGAAAGACAGAGGAGTTGAGTTTGATCGAAGATAGTTAGGTCGGTGGTTTCTCTACGACAAGCTCGCGCTCTCTCTCTCCCTCTCCCTCTCTCCCTCTCTCCCTCTCTCCCCGTTCTAGAATTTTAGTTGTACGCTTTCCTATCGTGACTCGAAGTGCATAGGTCTCGTTTGTCTTTCTTTGGGCCATATGTAATGGATGGTCCATTTCAAACTATACATGTGATATCGAGATGTACCAATACCAAAGTTTTTTTCCTGTCACACTACAAGGTGGTGTCACGAATTTACACACGTTATATGCGAGTTAGTAACAATGTATCGGTCGTGGTCTTCTAGTGATTTTGCCAACATGTTATATGTGAGTCAGTAACAATATATAGGTTGTGGTCTTCCTAGTGATTTTGCCACTAATCGTCGTTGCTCAGAGGTCAACGTCATCTTTAGAGTTATCTAAATGCAAAAGCGTCATTAGTTTGAGCTTCCTTTCAAAAATAAAATAATACATGCTAAAATGCTAATATTCCATGCCATTTGGTCTATAAATTTTGGTACTAATTAATCAGTATTAAAATATTATCTCCAAACTTAAATCCAATTTTGGCACTTGAAAAATAAAAAAATCATCACTAACCAATTAGAACTCACAATCCGTCTTACCTTTGAAAACTCATAATGTTGTAGTCAATTTGACCATAACAACTCGAAATACCATTTAGAATCAGATCTCATACAACTCGGGAAATACTTCCCAGCATCAATAGGCAACCCCAAGCCAACAAGGTTCTTCGTTTTGTCATAAAAAGTAACCTTTCAGTTGCGTCAAGACTCAACCAATTTGAGCATAGGCAATGGAGAATTATTAGAATATGAATTGTTTAATATTTTACAAACCAACAAAAAAGGGAAGTTATTTTTTGGGGCCTTTAGAGATAAGGAAAAGATCCTTCATTTTAATGCACCATGACATATCACTTATAATAAAACCACAAGTTTTACTACTATTTACAAGAATGCCGTCATTATTGTCTACAATATAACCTCCACCATCAAAATTTGAAAAATGTAACGATTACATCATTATCACCCATAAAAGTAACATTCTAAAAAATGTCATCTTTATTGTCTATAACTACCAGCTTTTTGTTTTTTGTTTTGTTTCTTTTTATATTTATTCAAATTTTATATTGTGTGGAGAATGCACTAATTTATGTGCGATAGTTTCGGTACAGTCAATTAACTAAGTTATATGGTTTAGGTCCGATAGATAGGTATGGTCAATTTGTTACGATTTGTATTTTTTATGTTTTAGTTCACTAGGTATGATAAATTAGGTACGTTATACAGTTTAGGTCCGATCAATTAGGTTGTGATTTCATATTCCATTTTCTCTACATACAAAATTGTTCTTTTCACTTATCGCAATATTCATTTTTAATTTATTCAATCCAAAACTATAAAAACCAAAAAAGAATGCATTGAGAATATAGGTACACTATATTGCTCTACATACAAAATTGTTCATTTAGGTACTGTCAATTAGGTCCTATTCATTCAGTATGGTCGGTTAGGTACTATATAGTGTAGGTTCAATCAATTCGGTACAGTCAATTAGGTTGTGATTTCGCATTCCATTTTCTCTATTTGTATTGTTTTTTTTTTCATTTATCTTTGAATTCACTGTCAATTTAGCATCTAAAAGCCCCTTTTTCTTCTTTCTTCCGAATACAACAAGATTTTTCCTAGGTTTTTTTAAGGAAAACTAATGAAAAGAGCTTGAAAACTTTGAGTTTTAACAATAAAGACAAAATAAAGGGTAAAGTGAATAGTACCAAGATTGACTTTTTAGTGTAAAAATGTGGTTTTTCGTTAAAATGAACAGTACAGTGGGCTTTTCGTTAAAACTTCTCCCATTTTATTGGAATAACAAGGAGGTTTATGGTAATGTTGTTATGACAAACATGTTAATTATGGATCTAGTGTTTCTCTAATTGGTTTTAAGAGAGTAAGAAGGGTAAATAGGGAAACTAAAAATGCAATAATTTTATTTTAAAAAATGATTAAATGTGACATGGAATACTATAATACGACATTGTATTTTTAGTTTTTAATCTTATATAAGGTATTATTGAAAATGCATTCTTATTTAGGAATCAAAATGAAATTTTCAATTATTTTTTTGGTAGAAAAAAGGGCAGTTACTTAAAAACAACAATTAATAAATTGCTGGTTGAAAACCAACAAGCAAAGAAAAGAAATTAAACATACAAAAATCTTAAAATCATGAAACAATCACAGAAGTTTGAAGTGCTGCTATGCCCGCCCATCCGTCATAGCTCTATTTAATATTTGAAGTAGCCCGACAAATCAAGAACCCAATTGCAATCAGGAGTAAACAAGATACTGACACAATACGAGCGCCGACATTCTGCTCGTTCTTTGCTTTTATTTTTTGATATTTCTGCTCGTTCTTTGCTTTGATCTTTTGATATTTCTGTAATATGTGATTCAAGTAATAATTCAAAAACATATTGACGTCGCCAACGAAGCCGTCACGGAAGCTTAGTTCAAAGTGACGTTGTTCTCGTACTTGGCCATCACCGGAGCGCGGCAGTTTGGAGGACACCAGAGCCCACATGACGCCGACACCTTGGAAAGAGTCGACCAGTTCTTGACTATTACCGTCAACGGTGATCACTTGTAACAGTTTATCGGCCGCCGGATCAAGTTTCTGGTGACTTTCGAATTCGTTGTTTTTGATGAGGTTGGTGTTGTTGCTGACCTTAATTCTGAGTGTAGGGCAAGACAGCCTCTTGTCCACGTAAACGTTGACTGCTTTAAACATTTCGTTGGGGACTTCTCCCTTGGTGAACTCTTCGACGGCGTACGCAGGGACTGGGGACCATGACGGACGCTTGGACGTTGGGAGCTCCTCCAATGCCATAATATTGAACGTCGTCGAGGATGTTGATTATAAGAGTTCTGAAGGTTTTTATAAGGTTCTCGAAAACTAGATTTGAACCCTTGGTTCTTAGATAAGATCAAAATCAAACTAATCGCTTATCTAAGTATTTGACTCTATCTAGATTTGATTTTTTTTTCTTTTAACTTTAATATTTTGATGTTCCTATATTATCTATTGTTGAGAATGAATCCACATTAGAACAAGGAACCTGGATGAGTTTATATGGAATTAGACTACCCCATATTACAAATTTGTTTTATTTTCGTCAAATGTGAATTTGAACTATATTAGTGTTAGCGAAGCTAAGCCAGCTTTTTAGATAATATCGTTTGTTAAATAAATAAATAAAAAAAGAAGCCTTTCTTCACCCTTCAGTTAAATATGGATTATTTTCAAACTGGTCTAATGAAAAATTTAGCGTACATATTTTTGGCCAATTTGTTGTAAAATTTTGCCCATGAAATTAGTGGCTAGTCTGTTTGCTACTCACTTAGGTGATGGTAGCTAGGGTCCTAATTTCTCTTTAACTCATTCAACTCAATGCGTTCATTTGTTTAGTATAGAAGTATAATATATTACTTGTATTAAAAAAAACATCTTCTCTTTCTTTGTACTTTTAACCAAGCCCCATGGAATAAAATATTTGAATATCAATCTTATCGATTCCTATAACTATCATATGAAATTCAATCTTTTTTAAGAAATACGAGAAATTAATAAGAAAAGATAAAATGTGATGATAAGTTTACATTTGTAACACAACTAGAAACTAGGATAATTAAAACAAACAGAAACTTGATACAAGTCTAATTTTTTAAAACAAAATAGAAATAGTCCAGTTCATTAAAATAAGTACAATTCCTTAAATTTAATCATTAAATTATTGTTATTTCTTTCTCTTCCTTCTGCTTTAAACAACATTTATAGATTTTATTTTAAATTTTTATAATCAACCTATATCACAAGTTAATTATATTTATCTACAACATATTCTTTTTTTTTTTATCAAAAAGTGTTTGTAACTAATCATGTCGGGGATTTTGGTTTATTATTATGAATTTTTGTTTTTATTGGATAAAAGGTAGTTTCGAATTATCAACATGTATCACAAATTAATGTGTTTTACTTGTAGGTATATTATGTTTTTCTACCTTTTAGTTAGGTTTTATATCTCACTTATATGTATAATATACATTCATATATTTATTAGGAATTTTTTGTTTTTATTGGATAAAAGGTAGTTTCGAACTATCATCATGTATCACAAATTAAAGTGTCTTGCTTGTAGGTATATTATATTTTTCTACCTTTTAGTTAGGTTTCATATCTCGCTTATATGTATATTATACATTCATACATTTATTAGGAATTTTTTGTTTTTATTGGTTAAAAGGTAGTTTCGAATTATCAACATGTATCACAAATTAATGTGTCTTGCTTGTAGGTATATTACGTTTTTCTATATTTTAGTTAGGTTTCATATCTCGCTTATATGTATGATACACATGCATATATATATATTACTTGAGTATGGTCATATGTTCCGCACATGGATGTGTATTAGTATATTAGTTTTTTTTGTTAAAAGATATTAAGTAGATTTTAATTTATCTCTAATATAAAATAAAAAAACAAAATAAAATGAGTATAAGAGAAAAAAAAATAAAATAAAGAAAAGATAATACTGGACTTAACCTAATAACTGAAAATTCTAAATAGCCAAAATGATCCCTGATATTTGCATAACTCATCACTTTGGTCCCTAACATTTCAAATCAATAAAAGTGGTCCCTGAGATTATCCACCATCCATCATTTTGTCATTCCGTTAAAAACTCCGTTAAGTGTCTCGGAGCTCTTGGCTGGAAGTTTAGGCAATTTTCAAAGCTTTGTAACTCAATCGTTTCTTAACCAAATTCGACCCATAATATATCAAAATGAAGATATGAAAGTGTAGAATAAGATTATACCTATTTGGAAGCCCAATGGATGGAGATGGCCAGAAAATAGCCTCAAAGTTGACTTGTCCGAGGGAAAACTGGAAAACTTGCTAGAAACTAGGTAAACTTTAAACGTTCATAACTTCTTCAATATTCAACGAAATCAAGTGATTCAAAAACGAAAATCATACTTCTGAACGAGACAAAGA